CTGGAAGAGGATGGGGTAGAAATTAATAATCCACAGAGGATCCGGCACGACTGCTGTAGTCTCAGTCTTTTGTTACATGCAGACAAAGGCATTTGACCTTGAACTGAACATCTTGAATAGGATTGCTAATTGGCAACAGCTCTTTAGAAAAATAAAATATAAAAATCTGGATTTATTTCTTGCCACATACATGCACAGCCGCATGTGCTGTGGTGAAAATAAATGGCATCATTCTCAATTCAAAACCTTGCTTGCGGCAGTTCTTCCTCAACGCTCCCAGCGCTGCTCATTTTCAGCGATAAAGTATAATTTTTTTCTATGGGGGGGGGAGGCCTTAGTGACATCTATAATTACATTTAATAATAAGTTCTCACAATCTGATTTTTGGGGGTGAGTGGGATACTCCCACCATTAAAAAACAACAACAGCAACACCAAACTGATAAATTGGCCTTTGATAACACAGTGGAAAAAGCTGCATAGTTCTTGTTATAAGATTTGCCATTTTCTTAATTCAACTACAGAAAATGGTTCCTAAGTGGGCATGGAGGAAACTGCCAATTTCAGTTTTCCTCCTTAAGTTTGGCTCATCACATTTTCACATCAGTTTGCTTAGGGGGGGGGGGGAGTCTCTCAGAAATACTTCAGCATTTTAGTGCACCTTTCTCCTGATATGCGGATTTTTCTGTGCAATTTTGCCTTATACACACATTTCCTGGAAGCTGGTTTGTGATTTGTAATACATTTTGTGGTGCTATTGTCAACAAGGATATGCATTTTAATGCATGCCCTCCCCAAAAAATGTACATTATTTCACACTTTTATATATATTGAAACCATCACTTCTCTGAATTTTTCCCAAATTGTTTCAGTTTCCACATCATGTCAGGAAGTACTAATTGAGCCAAACCGAATTCCTTCCCCCATTTCTGTTCCTAAGCCTTGCTGGTTGCCTTCTCTCTGTTTCTCTCTCCTCTCTCGCACATCTCCTTTCCTCTTTCCCTTCTCTGTCTCTGACAATATTGCTGGGTAAATGAAGATTTCTGTGTCATCTTCCCAACTTCGGTGACACTCCTCCCAGGCTGGTTAGACTTGCCATTTCTGAAGCCCAAATAAGTGAGCTTTTAATGAGCGCGAAGGCTCATTTAATAGTTGGTTCGGGTACTTAGTAGTTCCTCTTATTTAACGGTGGCAGAATTATAGCACATGAAGGGCGGGGTGATTAATAGACCTACCTGTACATAGTGAAGTCTAACAGTTCCTTAATGGTGCAAACTGCCTTAAGCATTTATTATTGTTTGGGGAGAGAGAGTGGGGAGGAGGCAGATGTCTAGTTGAGTGGTGATGCATTGTTGCTGAAGTAAATCACTGCTCCAAAATAATAGTGCTGGATTTTAGTGAGCGTTGGGGCCTTTCAGCTGAATTGAGATCCAACTCAAGTATTTGCAAGCTTTTTCCAAGGGGCAGGGAGCTCATCTGGATTTTGGAAAGTTGGCACCTGACTCATAACATGGATATATGCACGGTCAGGGGGAAAACAATGCTGTCCAGGGTTGTAAAAACTGCGGAGAGAATAATTAGGTGCACTCTTCCCACCTTGGATCAAATCCACGCTTCCAGGTGACATAAGAAAGCTGCAGAGATAGTGCAGGATAATACACACCCCGGAAATGATCTCTTTCAGCTTTTGCCTTCTGGAAGAAGGTACAGGGTTATAAAGACTAGGACTAGCCACCCGAGAAACAGTTTCTATCCAAATGCGATTTTGGTTTTAAATGCAGTGTAAGGTTGTCTCTAGGGACACGGGTGGCGCTGTGGGTTAAAGCACAGAGCCTAGGACTTGCCGATCAGAAAGTTGGCGGTTCGAATCCCCATGACGGGGTGAGCTCCCGTTGCTTGGTCCCTGCTCCTGCCAACCTAGCAGTTCGAAAGCACGTCAAAGTGCAAGGAGATAAATGGGTACCGCTCCGGCGGGAAGGTAAACAGCGTTTCTGTGTGCTTCTCTGGTTCGCCAAAGCAGCTTAGTCATGCTGGCCACATGACCCAGAAGCTGTACGCCAGCTCTCTCGGCCAATAAAGCGAGATGTGCGCCGCAACCCCAGAGTCAGTCACGACTGGACCTAATGGTCAGGGGTCCCTTTACCTTTACCTTTACACTTTAAAAGCTGATAGGTTTCCATGTGGCTCCCAGGTGGTCACACATCTGTGTGTTGACTTGGTCCAGACCAGCATACCTTTGGTAAGGCTTGTGCATCTTTAGCAAAACCCCATGTATATTCAGACCACACTCCCCCTATAGTTTCTTCTGGGACATGCCTTGTTTCATGTGGGAGAGGGAAAAGGATATGAGGAGGGTGGGGGAAGGGAGGGAAACATTCTAGGAGGACCCTTTGCTTTTGGTACATGTATCAAAATAAAGTGAATAGCTGCCAGAGCTGCAGAGCAGATGGTTTTAAGAAAATATGAGTACATGTTGGGTGTGGAAAGCAATACGACTCTGTGGAATCAGATTTGCCAGATCTGTAGGGAGTCTCGTGCAGAATCCATCTCCTTTCCAATAGGGATAATATTCTGTAGGAGGAAAACCTTGCAAGTGTAGAGGTGGGAGAATACTGAAGGAGCAGGAACGTGGTACAGCCACATGAATTTAAAAGTTGAGCACTTTTAACTTCACAGCTGCCTCAGTGAGGAGGACAAATGTATAACTAAATTGCACATTCAATGGCCTGTAGGGCACTTAATATTTTCACAGTTACCATTCATGTCAACATTTATCTTGTTTTCAGATTATTACCCTCCGGATATATCCATTCCAGTCAGCCACTGGGGAGGGAGAGATGTCGATTATATTAGATACCTGAATCCAAATACATAACGTTCTACCTCCTTGACTCTCTTTCCTCCAACATCACTCGCTGCTCTCATCTTTGGGCTGGTCTGTTTTATTGTGGCCTGCTGCTGACACCTCCTCCCACCCAAAGAATCCCTCTAGCTTCCAACCTTCTCTATTCTTCCCTATTCCCATTTGTGGGCCTTTCTCTCACCAACAACTGCACTGTGACTGATTAGCCTCCCCCCTGTGCTGTGACATCACAGCAGGGCAGCCAATGCCAAGGCAGCACCTGTTACGTATAAAAGCATAGGCTGTGTGAATATGTTGACTACTTGTCAGCGTAGCTCCTTGTACTTACAAAGCTGTAAAATTTGTAAAGCATACGGCTTTACCTCTGCAGCTAAAGAAACATTGGATTAGTGTCAGGCTGATGGCTTCTCATTCTATGTACTGAGTTTATATGCAAGATTACCTCCTAACTGCTGGTTGTACTTATTTTCTAGGCAGGCCAACAACTCTTTCTTTTGAAAGCAGGTGTAACATCCCTGCTATTCTGCTCTAAGATTTGCAGTTCTGAAAATTATAGTATTTGGAACCTGGATAACACACACACACACATGCAGATTTTCTTGTGGTTTCCGGTATTTTTAGCAGACTATTTGAGCCTGAAGACTGCGTAAAATGGTTTTTCGTTTTTCTCTCCTTGATCGCTGCAAGGAGTTCCTTTCTTGTTATCAGAGCTATTGGCAGCTGTTGGGTGGGTCAGAACCAGCAACTCAAGAGTGGAGATGGTGCCTGATTTGAACTGAGCCAGAGACTGATCTGAGGCGGAGAACTGCAACACACTGGGCTGGTCCTTGTGTAACTTCCTCCTGCAGTCAGCCCAATGCATAGGGGGTTGGGCCATGGTGTTGCACAAATCCAACTCATCCCACCCAGAATTTCATCCCCACCCTATGAGGATGGACTGTCTAATTTTGGTGTGCATGTGTACAAATGGCGTGGCTCACGTTATTGCTTCTCCTGATTAGTCTCCTAACGCAAGAAAGTTGTATGCACAGATATGGTTTCACAGAAATTGCTTGGAAGACTATGGCACATTATGCCCCATAACTTTCTGGGTGGGTTTGAGATTTGTTGGTTTTTTTTTAATAGTAAAAGATCAGAATCTGGGGCACTACTGGAAGCCTTCACAGGCACCATGGTGCCCATGGGCACCAGGTTGGTAACCCTTGGTCTACATTTGTTGTCGTTTAGTTGTTTAGTCGTGTCTGACTCTTTGTGACCCCAGAGCATGCCAGGCACTCCTGCCTTCCACTGCCTTCTGCAGTTTGGTCAAACTCATGCTGGTAGCTTCGAGAACACTGTCCAACCATCTTGTCCTCTGTCGTCCCCTTCTCCTTGTGCCCTCCATCTTTCCCAACATCAGGGTCTTTTCCAGGGAGTCTTCTCTTCTCATGAGGTGGCCAAAGTATTGGAGCCTCAGTTTCAGGATCTGTCCTTCCAGTGAGCACTCAGGGCTGATTTCCTTCAGAATGGATAGGTTTGATCTTCTTGCAGTCCATGGAACTCTCAAGAGTCTCCTCCAACACCATAATTCAAAAGCATCAATTCTTTGGCGATCAGCCTTCTTTAAGGTCCAGCTCTCACTTCCATACACCTTTGTCCGCAAGGTGATGTCTCTGCTTTTTAAGATGCTGTTTAGGTTTGTCATTGCTTTTCTCCCAAGAAGCAGGCGTCTTTTAATTTCATGACTGCTGTCACCATCTGCAGTGATCATGGAACCCAAGAAAGTAAAATCTCTCACTGCCTCCATTTCTTCCCCTTCTTTTTGCCTGGAGGTGATGGGCCCAGTGGCCATGATCTTCGTTTTTTTGATGTTGAGCTTCAGACCATATTTTGCGCTCTCCTCTTTCACTCTCATTATAAGGTTCTTTAATTCCTCCTCACTTTCTGCCATCAAGGTTGTGTCATATGCATATCTGAGGTTGTTGATATTTCTTCCAGCAATCTTAATTCCGGTTTGGGATTCATCCAGCCCAGCATTTCGCATGATGAAGTCTGCATATAAGTTAAATAAGCAGGGAGACAATATACAATATACAATATTGTATATTGGTCTACATTGATTGGCATTTGATTAGGGCTTTAAGAGAAGGAGTCTTTCATAGCCCTACCTGGAGGTGCTGGGGATTGAACCTGGGACCTTTTGCATACTAGACAGATGCTCTGCCACTGAGCTACAGTGCTATATCCCTGAGTTGGTCAGATTAATGGACCCTTTGCTCATCTGGCTTGCCAGTGGCATCAGTTCTAGCAGTACTTGAAATAAGGATTTCACATCATTGTAGCACCTGATAAAAATGGACTGCTGCAATGTTCCTTCCTTCATTTGCAAATGGGGTGATGGGGGTCCTTGGATTTGTCGTGCCTTGCCTGCAGGCTGAATTTTAGAATGTCTGGCGTTGAAAGCTACAAGGGAATAATACACCTGGCCTTTTCATCTATTGCTCTTTTCCCTTTGTTTCTTTCTTTCTTCTTTTTTATGCCGCGCTCTCCTGACTTATGACCTGCATTCTTGGATTTGAGCATGACGTCCTAAGTCATTACCCTTCTGCTGCCATGTATAATGCTAAAGTGAGAGTTTGATCTGCCGAAAGGGTGACATTTTTATTTGAGCGCAATTAAGCACATGAAAGATTGCTGCTGAAATATGTGAGTCAGCAGCTCACTTTATTCACCGCAAAGGGGGTTACGCACATCTCAAAGCTTCTTTCTTCTCCCTCAAGGCTTGTGTTTACTTCCATTACAAGTGGAAGAAACATCATCCAGTGCCCCAATTCTAGCATCATTCTGGGGTATTATATGAGTACGTTGGTAAGGGGAGTGATGGTGGCTGCCATGAAAAGCAGTGGAGGATATTCTGAGATGGTTCTGCAGAGTAGCTTCTTTTCCCTCCAAGGAGATGTGAGAGAAATAATCTCAGACATATTGCTTTGGGGAGCATAAGCCAGCCCCTGCTGGATCTCAGGCCAAAGGCCCATCTAGTCCAGTGTCTAGTTCCCATGATGGTGCTCTGAATGGAGGACCAGACTACAACAGCACTCTCCCCTCCTGCAATTCCCAGCAAATAGCATTCAGAAGTAAAGGTGAAAAGGTAAAGGACCCCTGGATGGTTAAGTCTAGTCAAAGGCGACTATGGGGTTGCGGCGCTCATCTCGCTTTCAGGCCAAGGGAGCCAGTGTTTGTCCACAGACAGCTTTCCGGATCATGTGGCCAGCAGGACTAAACCGCTTCTGGTGCAATGGAGCACCGTGACGGAAACCAGAGCGCATGGAAATGCCGTTTACCTTCCCGCCACAGTGGTAGCTATTTATCTACTTGCACTGGTGTGGTTTCGAACTGCTAGGTTGGCAGGAGCAGGGACAGAGCAACGAGAGCTCACTCCATTGCGGGGATTCAAACCGTCAACCTTCCGATCAGCAAGCCCAAGAGGCTCAGTGCCTCTGACAGTGGTGGGAGCACATACCCAGTGGAAGAATGTTTCCATTTTGGCCTGGTCCTAACACACACACACACACCCTCCACCCCTTTATGAAAGTTAAATCTAGATAGGATGCACTGAGGCTGAAAGGCTGCAGCAGAAGCTGGCACCGCTTTGTTATGGGAAAATGTTAGGGGAATTCCAGGACGGAACAAATGAAAACTCCCGCCTGATGCAACATGCCTTCTCCATTGTTGACCAGATTACTTTCCCTGCAAATCATGCAAGCAGAATATGATGGCAATCACATTCCCTGTTGATCATCCATGCCTCCTGGTTAAGAAGTTGTGTCTGAGGAGGTATTTGCTGCACCAACTAAAAGGGGAACCTTCCGAAGCTGGCGAATAGTGGTCCGTCATCATGCTGTTTGATGTTGTCCCAGCTTGTCTTTGTAGCTTAGATTTTCATTTGTCTAATGGAGCAAGAGTTTATAGAGCCGTTATCAGGCAATGACATCATATGGTACAACTCATCTGTGGCTATGTAAGATCCAAATGCTTTTGACTTTTAAGATGCCATCAGCCTAACTGTGTGTGTACTGTAGTTCTGCTGGAGTACAAGGTGTGGCATTAAGTGCAATTTGGTATTTTTAATGTTTTAATTTTAAAGATAGGCTTTCTAGCCCTCATCAGCAGTGGCTGGCAACCTGGGACTCCCCCAAGCTCATCATCTCAGCTAATTCCCCTACCCTGCCCCCAGCAAGCAGCCACTTGTCTCACCTGCTGAAATCCCAGAAACTAGAGAATTTTGCTGAATAACAACAACAAAAGTCACTTGCACACAAACCGTAATCCGTGAATGAGGTATTCTCCCCATTGCTGTAACCTCACTTGGAACCATACAGTAAATGATGAGGAAGAAATCTGATAAGTAATATGGGAGCCACTCATCGAAGAGGACAATAAGTTAAAAAATCAATGGACCCAATCCCTGCAGCATGTTCCTTTAGCTTCAGCCCAGGAACTGATACAAGCACTAATACAAGATATCATTCTATAATCGCATTCATGGGAAAGGACACCCCCTGCCACCATGAAAATAATCATTGGCTTGCTCTCACTGGGTTGCTAAGGAACAAATTTTAATCCTGATTGGAGGACTCAGTTAAAACATGTGCCTGGGCCTAGAACTGGCCAGGTCTGCACTAATGTTGATAGGATCCCCCAACTGGCGCATGGTTCTCTCTCCATCTTCCTTTTAGCCTTTCTCCAGACCTAGTCCAATTCTCAAATACGGGAGATTATCCAGTTTCTTTATCCTTATTATATACATAATTCATCTTTTCCTGGTGCAGGATTTGGATTGCAGAGGTACAGAATTTGTTTTTTTTTAAGTGGAGTTAATTAAAATTTAAAAAACCAGATTCCATATTATCTTCTTTGGTATGTTAATAGGAGGAAGAATAGCTCAGTGACAGAACATATGTTTTCCATGCAGAAGATCCCAGGCTGACTCACAGGTAGCTCTAATTAAAATAATCAGTTAGGAGGTAATTTGAAAGACCCCTGCCTGTACCCTTGGAGAGTTGCTGTCAGTCAGTGTAAGTTAGATGGAGAAATAGTCAGAGATTATATAAGACAACTTCTGATGCTCCCTCCTTGCATTCACTGTACAAACATTTTATTTCTGTGGTCATGTCTACAATCAAACCAAGATTACATTTCTTGAGAGTTTTGTCATTGTTCCTGTTTACATTGATAATGCAGAGACAGGAGAGGACTTGAAAAGGGTGAAGCTGACAATTTTGGTTTCTTTTGGTTTCTCATTTCCCCCCAGTCTTTAGTTCTCCGCATTTCCACAGCAGTTCGCAAAATGTTGCTTCTCAAAGTCCTCATGAAAATTCACCATTGGATTTCTCCTACTGATGGAATTTTCCCTAATACAATGCATTTTTTGCAAGCTTTCCCACTAATATATGCATCTTTCTGCACGCTTTACCCCAGTATATGCGTTCTTTGTGCGCATTACCTAGCTGGAAATCTGCATTGCAAAATTTGAAGAAGGAAAGATGCGTTGCAAAATTTGCATTGCAAATTTCGAAGGGTGGCCGTGTTTGGATTCGTTTCTGAAAAGCACCAATTAGGTAGTTCTCATTGAAATGCAAAGTGAATCGGATGTCTTCCCCATCCCAAGAGAGGGCACCCAAATGATGCACTGAAATAATGTGCATCTGTGTTGTAAATGTGTATTGATTGTACGGCGGCCTCCGTCCTTAGAGGGCAATGCATATTGCTTACTCGTAATACAATAAGTCCACCCTGAGGCCTTTTCAGACTCCTCAGCCCATGGTGTTGAGTAAAGTCATGGGCATCTGCCCCCAAGTCCTGCCCTGATGGCGCTGCTGTAAATAAAGGCAGGAAGCTGCTGCAAACTGCCTGTGCACAACACCCTGTACAAAATTCAGAAATAAGAAACAGGCTAATTCCTGATGCATCCGTTCCACTTCGGAGCATCAAAATCTGGGTAGACATTTGTGTGTGAATTTTGGAAACATCCCTAATTAAAGCTGGCTGCTTTCAACGTATGTCTTAAGTTCTTGTTACCCTTCCCAAAGTCATTAGGAATAAGCTCTTTTAAATACTAACGAAGTTTCCCTTCTGTGTATCTTCTCTTTTTTTCTTTTTTCTTTTTGTAGAGAGACCGCCACAGAGTTGTCTGGAACTCTACCAAGGTAAGCAAGCTGTTCTGCTAAACCAAATCTGTGTGTTGGCTTTGGGGAGCTGCTGAAGGGAACATGCAAACCCTCTAACTGAAGCATCCAAGACAGCCTGTCAAGGGTTTAAGGAAAAAAAGAGAACATTTGTATGTGAAACAATAGTTACAAAATATGCGGGGGATTTTTTTTCCAGGGGGGAGGGGAGACCATTTGGCAGGCAGACGCAGCTGCAGAACAGCTCTGTGGAATGGTAGATCTTGCGTGAGTGAGTGTGTGCATCTCTCTAATTGATAGGCTACTTGCTGCCCTAAGGAAGTAAATCTTGGATGAACTGCTAGGTTAAGGCTTGGAACACTTAACTGGTAACCTCAGTTTGCTTTTGGATTTTTGTCTGTATGGTTGACATTTAAGAAGAACCAAGATTGTTCCAAAGGCCCCTGTGAATCTTTTTAAGAGACTAGAGAGGGAGAATTATTTCCCGACAAGGGACAGATTCAGCATAGTTGCCCTTAGGTGTTGTAAAATCATTGAAATGTAGAGTTGGATATGATTCCGAGGGCCATCTAGTTCAACCCTCACAGCTAAAGAATCCTTGACAAATAGCCATCCAAACTGCCATATTTTTCACTCTGTAAGATGCACCAGACCACAAGACACACCTAGTTTATAGAGGAGGAAAACAAGAAAAAAATATTCTGAATCAAATGTTGTACTAAACTATTTAATAAACTACCAGTATATCAGAATAATATTTCAACCATGTAAAGTGAACAGCAATCAACAGTGCCATTAAGAACCATCATCACTGTCATTAACAAATGAAGAGAGACTTTATCCCCTAGTAAGGGGGGCAGGCAATGGAAATATACGAGCTTCCCACATTGAGTCCCTTAGATCTAAGGACTGTATGGTTTGGACCTACACAATTATTTCAATAAAGCCAAAAGAAGTGGGACTTTCTTCCTTTTTCTTCACTGCAGAGAGCTCTGGGGGCTTTCATATGAGGGAGGAATGAGGGAGAAATCTGATTCAATCCCCATTTAAAGTCCAATCTACCTAATTCACACCTTCGTACACAACACAAGGACCAAACCACAGCCGCCCTTCAAATTTCACACTTCTGCAAAAGAAGGCACTACTGCCCCTGCAAGACCAGTGGTGGAGGGAGGGTCTTGCATGGCAGCACATCACCTGTGGGGACGTGGGACATTGCCCATGCGAGAGTCCCAATGGGGTGGATGAGCGTGGGGGCAGAGGGATTACACAGCTCCCACTGTGCTTGCTTTACACCCGTGTAAGCGGCTTCTGTCCCGCTTTGCTGCTTTAAAGCGAGCCGTGGAGGAGGGAAGGATGGGAGTCCGTGGAGGAGGGAAGGATGGGAGTCACACGCATGCGCGGAAACGGCGAATCGCGACCTGCGCACACGGAGACATGCGGACATGGGTTGCGTTCACTTCTGGATGCGAACGGGGCTCCGGAACGGATCCCTTTCACATCCAGAGGTACCACTGTAATAATAATAAAAACAATAAAAACCATATTTACTCGACTGTAATGTGCCATCAAATCTAATGTGCACCCTAACTTTTGCAAAGTAATTTGGCAAAAAAAGTGTGCATTAATGTTCGATTAAATATGGTATTACATGGCCTTTACTAACAGCTTGTGAAGCGGGTAACAACAATGTATAATTCAGGGTTAAAACAAATTGCAGACACTAGAATAAGGTTTATTCACCATGTCGATGAAGCCTCTGTTATGCTTCCATATGCCTTGCCTACGCAAGGTCCCAGGTTCAGTCACAGGTGGGAATGGGAGAGATTCCCCTGTCTGCAACCCTGGAGAGCTGCTACCAGTCAGCATTTACACTACTGAGCTAGATAGACCAATGGTCTGACTCAGTATAAGGTGGCTTCCTCTGTTTCCCACCTCTCTCTTTTCCAAGGGATAGCTCAATTGGTAGACCATGAAACTCTTAATCTCAGGGTTGTGGGTTCGAGACCCACGTTGGGCAAAAGGTTCCCACATTGCAGGAGGTTGAGCTAGATGATCCTTGTGGTCCCTTCCAACTCTACAGTTCTATGATTCCATATGCCGCCATCTGACTAGGTTGCCCCAGCCACTCCGGGTGGCTTCCAGAAAATTAAAACACAGTAAGACATCAAACATTAAAAACTTATCTGTACAGGGCTGCCTTCAGATGTCTTCTAAAAGTCAGAGAGTTGTTTATTTCCTTATGAAGCATTTATTTCTATATACCGTATTTTTCCGTGTATAAGACTAGGTTTTCCCCCTAAAAAATAATGTCAAAAATTAGGGGGTGTCTTATACCCTGGGCCGTCTCCCCCTATTTTCTTAAATCTGAGTCCCCAAAAATTAGGGGCGTCTTATACATGGGGGCATCTTATAGACAGAAAAATATGATACGCGTTTGTGTATCAGCCTGCTGTACAAAGATTGAGTCAAATCTGTTGTTCCTCTCACTTCTCCCTCACCCTCCACCTTCCACTCTCATATGGCCCCTGGAAGGCTGTTCAGGAAGCAATGTGGCCCTTGGGTTTCAAAAGCTTCCTTACCCCTCTCCTAGGATCAGATGATGCTGCTTCCTGAACTCTGTTGATATCTGTGTTTTGGTTATGAAATAGCATTGGTGTTGCATTTTGCAGCGTATAATCCCCAGCAAATTCTTCATGTCCCAAAGTTGTGCTAATGTAGCCTGTCGTTCGTCCCTCACAACCAGTGAATTATCACAGACCTGCAGGTGTTTTAGAGGTAAATTCAGAAGTTGCCCCGTTTGCAAAGCAACCAAACGCTTGCGTACAGAAGCTTGCTTTATGCTTTGCTCCTCATTCCACTGTTGCCTGTTCCTTATTATTCCATCAAATGGCTTTTCTTTTTTTTAATGAGCTTCATGATGTGGCAGGGAGACGGAGGGAGAGAAAAGGGGTTCTTCGGTGAATATTGTATTGCAATTTGATGTTTATTCATAATGAAAAACGTGCAGCATGGAAACAGAGATACCCTCATTGCAATTATACTACAGCTTGTTAACAACCATTTTCACAACGCTATTTATTATAACCGTGCTTCTGTTTTCCTGCTGGAATGTGTGCAAAGTGTGGCAGAACCTTGCTTTGTGAATAGTGCTGGGCCTTGTTTTGCTAAAGATTTTGATCATATTGATAAGATGTCTTGTCTTATTTTTGTGAGTTCTGGGCAATTTTGCCCTCCCTCCCTAGATAGCAGTCTGGCGAGCACAGTCTTGTTGCATATAAATTGTCTGTTTCCTCTTTCTCTCTTGCCCTGGTTTTTAGACTTCTGATAGCTTCATCTGTGTTGTGGAAACACTCTGGTGCAATTTGAAGCGAGGCAACTGAAGTTATTTTGTTTATTTACCAGTTAATGATTGTCGGAGCATGACACTTTTGTGATTTATTTTTATTCTTCAGAGCTACAAAGGTACGGTTGCTACTGTTTCAAGAAGACGATTCAAAGCAGTAGCAATCTCTAGCTGTGCTGCTGGAATCGCTTCCTAATCATTTAACGGCACATAGGTTCATCCACTGTGTCGTGGGATAAAGGTTTTGAGATCTGTACATGATGATATGTAATTACACCGGATATTGTTAATCTAATTTTGGCTGGCATTTAACTGGCAATGGACATGGTCTTCTTTTTCCAGTAGAAATCAATTAGGAGTAAAAGAAAATTAAAGCCTTTATTTATTTATTTTTAAGAGATGCTTTCAAATGCTTCCATTTCTCCCCTTTCAATAAACTTAATCTCACTTTGAATGTTTGCCTTGTGTTAAAATTAAAATATAGTGGCATGTCACTAGGGAAAAAATAGATTTGTATAAGTAATATGTGACTTATTGAAATGAGAACAAAGAAACACCTGAGATTAATACAGTTGTTTCTCACACTTGTACCTGTTGGAAATCCGCAGTGTCTTAAAAGCCTCCCCCCTTTTTTGGAAGCCACTTTTCATTACGTGACATAGCTTTCTCTGCATGCTCTTCTGACCGATTGGTCATTTGTTTTCTGTTTGAAAAGATATCATAGTTGCTTTCTGATGGTTAAAAGCCTGTTGCTTACTGGCTGTCACAGAACAACAATAATTAAAACCTAAAAGGATTAGCTAAGGGTGCAGGCAAACCAATGTTGCTACTACAACAGAGAGCAGCACTACGGAGATTGCTGGGTGGACAATCTAGCCTGCTAGAGGGGAAACAGAGAGAGCTGTGTGTGATTTGTGTCGCCAGCCTCCCTAGCGCTGTCCTGATAAACATGTATTCTCAGTAAGTGTCCTTAATCATGAAAAAAATGACTGCTTCAGCAATCTCAGATATAGCTAAAGTTGAAAGACTAAAAGAGTGTCAGGAGCTCAGCCTACACTCGAGTAGGACCCTGGCAGAGACACATGCCCAACTGGCATGTTCTCTCCCTCCTGGTCTTTTGTTTGGGAGCTTCAAAAGCTCTCTTCTGCCCGAACATCACAGCGACCGATGCCAACCGACACCAGCACACAGGGATCCGGAGAGTTTGCGCAGTTGCGTAATAGACCTCAGCAACTCAGCATTTTGGCTAATCAACTTTATTTACATATAAACACACACGGAGCACTGCAACATGGTTCCCTCTCTCTCTAGCATCAGACAGCAAAGAGGAAAAGAACAAAGGACAATAGTCCCACTTCATGGAACACAGCAACACAGACATCCTATCTTCGTCACTTCCCACTCAGTGGAATCAAAACATATACCGCCTGTGATGACAACAATCCCATGACTGCAATCAGGAGCAGGAATTCTAACAAGTAGTTGACCCCCACTCCTCTGTTCTACTTGTTCCAGGTTAAAGAAAGGACATGGGCACTCAGAAGTTCTCTTTGGTGCGGGGCACAACTATGGTGACTTGGGACTTTATACTTGCCATTGATACAGGGTGTGTGCATGGCTGGTTGTGCATGTTCAATTGGTGCTAAGGTTGGCAAAGTGGGTTCCACCCTCCTGTGCAACAGAATGTCATCAAGTCCTGTCACTTTCAGACAGACACTTTCAGACATGCGACAGTGTGCTAGCTGCTCCGATATCTGAGCATCTGGAAGATTATTTTTCCTAAAAGAGACCAGGTTATCTGAAATGCTGCCTGCTTCAATGTAGACCTGAAAGATGACTTGGCTTGCCTGGGGGAAATCACACGCTATCATAGGGCAATGACCACACAAAAGGCGTCTTCTGCTGTTGCCCCTGTTCTGTGGAGTGTCCTTACCTCTGCCATATGTGAAGCAGCGACCATCACTTGCTTCAGATGTCTTGTTGCCCAGGCTTTTCCTGAACCCTAAGATTGGGCCCAGTTTCACATGTTTGAATTGCTGCTTTATTTGCATTGGATACTTTTTGTATTGCTGTTTTACTGGTTTTAGGCTGCGTTTTTTGCTTTCACGATGCAGAGTTTAAGCGGTATATAAATGCTTGTAAGTAAAATGAGTGAATTAGCTTTTGAAGATAGAAAAGTTTTAAAAAGAGATTTAAAAGGCAGAAGCAGGGACTTGGGGAGGCCTTGGACTTGTAAGGGGGTCCCTAGGACTGCGGAGTCTAGTGTGGACTATCATGGGTAGGCAAACTAGGGCCTGGGGGCTGGATCTGGTCCAATCGCCTTCTAAATCCGGCCCGCGGACGGTCCAGGAATCAGCATGTTTTTACATGAGTAGAATGTGTCTTTTTATTTAAAATGCAGCTCTGGGTTATTTGTGGGGCATAGGAATTTGTTCATTCCCCCCCCCCAAATATAGTCTGCCCCCTCACAAGGTCTGAGGGACAGTGGACCGGCGCCCTGCTGGAAACGTTTGCTGACCCCTGGAATAGATGATCTGATCTGGGTCATGTTTTTCCTATCCTCTCCCATCGCTATAGCAAACTCACTGAGCTGCAGGGTCGCTAAGCTGAATTGGGAGCAGATAAAAGCCTTGGCCTTGCCACCACCATCACATTCAAACTTTCCATTCTTAAGGTTTGGCTGCCATCAACAACGACCTCTCCCCCCAATGTTTAAGCACACAAACGTGCATTGGGATGCTGTACCTGTGGCCACTAGCAGTTCCATACATTTTGAGGTAGAAAACCCCCCCAGCAATTTAGCTGCGTGGGACTGGAAATTCACCCTAGGGGAGAATTTGACACAGGGATGCTGTACCTATCTATCTATCATCTTCTCACTCCTTATTATTGCCAATATCATGTGTTTCTTCCCTTTCCATGACACTACATTTTCTTGTCATTTCTCCTGATATACAATGCAGAGAGGGTCGATAATAATTTGAAAGAAGGATTTCAGCTTCTAATCCTTTGTTCACCTGTGCATTTGGTCCTGTTCTTTGTCTGCCTTTTTCCTTCCCCCCTCATGGCAAACAAGGTTTCCTTCACATACTGGGGCATCAAGGAAAACATCTCCGCGCAGCAAACCTTTATAATATTGTGAAGCTGTTCATTGCCTGACCTATTTAGAGTACTCAGACTCCTCTCGTTGCAATGACATAATTAAATTTTAAATGGAACATGATAAAGAAATTATACTGGTGATCTCTAGAGATTTGTATACTCCATTTGGCTCTTTGCAAGTGTGTAACAAAGGCATACTTTAAAATTTCATACAGATCTGGCCTAATTCACCCACCTTTTCAATGACTGTTTCATTTCTGTTCTAAACCATCTTCATTAGCAGAATTAACAGGTCAGAGTAAAATCCTTCAAACAAAAATTCAGTCCTCTTGCTTATTTCTTTCAGCATCGAAAATTCAGCTCTGCATCAAAACAAAAAAATGTTTTTCCTCCCCATCATTATCTTATAAAGAAAGTCCAAGGAAACTTTTGACTTTGCACTGTGGAATGCTTAGCTTGCATGGTGCAAGGGGAAATGTCCCATGTTCTCATGGGACCAAATGGGGAATTTTAGCCTTTGAATGCATTGCACTTGAAACAAAGGTCTAGTGCAGCTTATATGGTCATAAAGCGTCTGGCTTTGGATTGGCTCCACCTGCTATGGGCAGAGCCAAGGGGTGGAGACCAGAAAGGTAGAGCCAGCGCAGGAACTGGCAGGCTGGGGTTCAGTGTGAAATAATTTGGCAGGTCAGAGCAAAAGTTGACATCATCTCCATTTTGAAAACCCAATACATTGGTACCTCGGGTTACATACGCTTCAGGTTACATATACATATTCAGGTTACAGACACTGCTAACCCAGAAATAATACCTGGGGTTAAGAACTTTGCTTCAGGATGAGAACAGAAATCACACTGCGGCAGCAGGAGGCCCCATTAGCTAAAGTGGTGCTTCAGGTTAAGAACAGTTTCAGGTTAAGAACGGACCTCCAGAACGAATTAAGTTCTTAACCCGAGGTACCACTCTACTTGTTAGGAATAGACGAGTCTGTCGATTTCCATTTCTCTCTTTTTCTGCTCTTATATTCAGCTCTCCACTTTCCCTCAGCAATTTGTGAATTCTTAAAAAAAAAAAAACCCTGTTGAAAGTTTGCTGAGTGGACATTTCTTCTAACTAAACCATTTTTCTATGCAGTTTTGACCAATGCACCCCCCCCCCCTCCAGCAGTTGCCCCTAAAGCAGTGTTTCTCCAAGTTGGGTACCATGCTGTTAGACTACAACTCCCATCATCCCTAGCTAGCAGGATCGGTGGTCAGGGATGACAGGAGTTGTTGTCCAACAATAGCTGGAGACCCAGTTGGAAAAACACTGTCTTAATATTACACAGTTTTGCACAGCGTTTTCACTGAGGTGCATTTTTATGCACACTTCACCACAGCATATCTTTTTATTTGTACACATTGTTTGACTGGAGAACTGCACTGGAAATTCAGAGCAATGCAATTTTCAAAAAAACAGCTACTAATCTGTAGTTTGCTAAGGGTGCTGAGAATTGTTAGGAGACCAACATTCCCCTCACAGAACTCCAATTCCAAGAGGTCGCTTTGAAGACTGGTTGTTAAATCACTCCAAATTTTAGCTCTTGGGGGGAAACAGGTGTCTCCTAACAATCAACAGCACCCTTAACAAATAATAATAATAATAATAAAATTTATTTATATCCCGCCCTCCCCAGCCGAAGCCGGACTCAGGGCGGCTAATAACAATAAAATAATACAACATTCTAAAATCATTTCATTATAACATTAATTCAAATCAAATTGATGGCAACCATTGGGCTAGAGTTCTATGAGGATTACCAAAGGAGAGGGGGTCAAAGGCCTGGTGGAACAGCTCTGTCTTGCAGGCCCTGTGGAAAGATGTCAAGTCTCGCAGGGCCCTAGTCTCTTGTGACAGAGCGTTCCACCAGATCGGAGCCACAGCCGAAAAAGCCCTGGCTCTGGTTGAGGCCAGCCTAACCTCTCTGTGGCCTGGGACCTTCAAGTTATTTTTGTTTGAAGACCGTAAGTTCCTCTGTGGGACATACCAGGAGAGGCCGTCCCGTAGGTACGAGGGTCCTAGGCCGTATAGGGCTTTAAAGGTTAAAACCAGCACCTTAAACCTGATCCTGTACTCCACCGGGAGCCAGTGCAGCTTCCGGAATTCTTTGGATGAAGCCGTGACTGTTTAAAGTGGTATGATAGTGCTGTAAATGTATTGTGTGGATGTCAGCATGGTACATATGAGAAACAGTTTTACTACATGTTTCGGGACAGGCTGCCCAAATGCAAAACAGGACAGGGCTCTTGCATGTTTAATTGTTCTGTAGATGTCAGAATGTTGGCAGGTGAAGTTTGCATGACACCCAGAGCCGTCCCTGCCATTAGGCAGAGTGATACAGCTGTTTCGGGCAGCAGATGCTTGCAAAGGGGATACCAAGGTGTCAGAGGACAGAGGTATGTGTGCCCAATGGCTTCCTCCATGCCACACCTAAGCCATTCTGCTGCCCACAGGTGCCATGGAAATCACCGTCTCACTACTAGTATAGAAAGAAGATTCAGCTGCTGGTCTAGTTGGCTTGTGTACATGAGACAGAGGAGAGGCCATCTTCACCTCGCAGAGAAAAAGGCCCCTCGTCTACAAACTAGCAAAGGTGCAGGAACCCTGCTCTGTTTTTAATCTGGCCAGCCCCCTCTTCAAATGTTTGCTGCTTTCCCCTTCAACACATGGCAGAGTAAAAGGAATCATCTAGTATACCTTGCTTGGATTTTATTTGGCAGGTTTTTGGCACCAGTGGAGCTGAAGCTTGCAAAATTGTATCCGTCTATGCTCAATGTGAAGTCATCCCTGATCTTCCAGAGAAAGAGCACATTTCCATAATGGTTAAAATTCACCCCTTAGCCAATCACCGCCTGAAATTCTATTTATAATACTTAAGCAACAAGAGAGAGAGAGAGAGAGAGAGAGAGAGAGAGAGAGAGAGAGTTGCCCATTAGAATTTAAAACATCTGGAGAAACCTAACTATATCCTTAGTGATTGTTCCTCAGTCTTCAGAAGTCTCCTGGCAAAGAGCCTCTAATTTTAGTAAGCTGTATAATTATCCTATCAAATTACCTGGCATTCAAATTGGCAGCCATTTTTACCACCTGCTGGTGACTATTAGAACACTTTACAAACACTAATGAATTTAGCCTCACGCCATCTACATGAAGCCAGAAAGTTTAGTTCTTATTCTGCAGTTGGAGATTCAAAAGGCATATTCATTTAATTTCTGCGTGTCTGTGCATGAGCACAGCCAGGAAAGCTGCCCACCATCTTGTTCCTGGTGTTCCAGCTGAGGTGGTCTTTCCCTCCTTCGCCTGCCATCACAGAATGTTTCAGAAACCACCTTGGCCTGTAGGGACGTGAGAGAAAAAGAAGGCCAGACAACCTGGAAAACTGCTTACAATTCAGTTCCTGGTATTTCAGCTAAGTTGACCTCTCCATCCCTCAAGTGCTGAGCTGCCACAACAGAAGTACTGAGGAACCATCTTTTCCTGAGAAAAGGAGAGTTGTTGCTTACAACCTACCCCATGTAGCTTATCTTGTCTGATTTATATCATTTTTAATTGGTGCATATTATTTTGGAAGTTGTATGGAAGTTACTTTGTGATCCTCTGAAAAGCAGTATATGAATATCTAAAATACGTTTCTTGAAAAATGCATGTATGAACACCAGGGATGTAAGTAAACAATAATTTCTGTTGCAACTCGTCTCATTCGGAGCTGTTTCCATTCTGCTGTGGTTCAGTTCTGCCAAATACTTCAGTTTCCATCAAATACTACATTATTCACCTCACCACCAACTGCTTAATG